GGTTTAGCCGGGTAATCCTATGAATATAACGATATGATTGAACCATGAATTCTAAAGTTAGAGGGCAGCTTACTCACCTCTAACGCAGGGATTGACGGTAAGCAACGGAAAACGGATGAACGAACGACTAACGAACGGACAACGAACGACGGATGCCTTCCCGCGTAACCCTCCTTCCCCTCTTCTCCTTCTTTCCCCCTCGTCTACTCACCGGAACTCCTCCCTGGGCTGCTATTGCCTTGGCCGAATGCAAGAGAGAGAGAGTTGTGAAAGTGTGTGAATACTTGGGGGGTTACAAGAGTGGTGGAGAAAGTGAAGAGAGAAAGAGCTATTATATTGAATGGGTAATGGTGAGGAATAATGGGGAATTAAATGGAAAATGGTGGAGGGGAAATGTGTGTGGCGTGTGAGTTAAATGGGGAGGTTACCTCCCTTAAATTCGTTCTGTTGTGTAAAAATCTGTCCTGAATGGTACACGTNATCTGGTTATGTTTCTAGAATCAAGCAGTCAAGATGAATATTATGACGTGATCAAATAATTTTTCTAAGGATTTATTTACCCAACCCCGGTCCGAGTTAGTAATTAATTAATTAAATTAATCAATTCTAATAGACCGGGTCTCGGGGCGTTACAGTCGGTGCTGCCCGGATTCCACCTCTGTCGTCGGTTCTGCTCGTGGTCGCTGATGTCGGGGTCACCAAGGGTCGTCGGAGCGGAGGAAGCCTGCACACCCATGTCTAATCGTACCCCTGCCACCAAAGATCGTCGAGGAAGGTGGGGAATCGCTACTACCCATGCACAGCTTTGCTGCCACTGCTCTGTAGTCGGCCACCGCCGTCTAAAGGTCGCCAGAGCTTAGTAGAGTCGCAGGATGTCGGGGCTGGTTCGCTGGAGCCCTGCCGTTTTTGAATCGCCGCCGGCATCGCTGGGTCGAAGAGGATCTTCGTCACCGATTGTCTGCAATCCCTCATGCTGCTATGCGTTTTGATCGGGGAAGGTGGATTGAAGAAGAAGACAGGGGACGGCGTTGGAATCTAAAGACACATGAAAATAAGCCTAAGGTTTTGTACTGCGTAATTTAAAATAACGTGTTTGAGGACTCTGAGCAAAATACATTTTTCGAGCTAATTTGCTCCGAATTGAGATCTGTTCACGTTGTTGGATTCGATTCCTCGATCCCTACCCAACTATACAACTTTTATAATCATTCGACAAATATTCACAGGTTTCACTGGGTCCGTCTTAATTTCTTCGATTAATTAATACATATTAATCTTTTAATTCAAATCTTTACAAATATACTCAGATTAGTTTCGTTATATTGATACGATTAGATTCTCTAAGGTATCTTTTTATTCTTTAAAAGAATAGATTATCATAAATATATAATTCATATTAATTTAATTATTAATTACTAGACCGGTTTCTAGGGCATTACAGATTAAACTAATAGAGGTTGTTAGGTATTCACACTTTGACAGACATTGTAGATATAAAGCTACTATAATGAAAAGTGCAACATTCACTCCATATGAAGCAAACTAAACATGGGAAATGGCTACCCAAGGGAACAATACATTTTAAGAGTGAAATCATTTTGTGAGTAATAATAGTGCAGGAATAACCAGTTCCTAAACGCGTGGATAATGTCAAGTACCTATTACAATACAAACATGGAAGTGCATACAAAGGTTTGAATTAAAATTGTTTTTAATTTTTTTCCAAGAAATGTGTTGCATCACTGACATGTGAACTCTTTGTTAATTTTCAATGTTATATAACAAAACTATTTATTAAAAAAACAATAAAGAGTAGTGATTATCTAAACTATAGCTTAGCACATCAGGAGATAAAAATATATCCATTATAAAATAAATTAAAAATATATATTTAAAATACAGTAACAATTTTACATAATAGCTTTATATTTAATATACTATCAATTGATCTCTCTTGAACATGAATAATTTAACTTGACTTTTTAAAAATCATTGTTTCATTAATTGGGATGAAAGCATAAACTAAAAGAAAAAAAGCAAACAGACTCACCAAGTAGTAACTTGAGGTGTTGCAAAGCTCATAGAGCTTTCTTATGTTAAAAGCAACCTCGGCATCATAATAGATAGAGAGTTCATAGGTCTTCTTGATATATTTATTTTAGGAAGACCAAGTTCATAGATGATTGTAATGTATTATGGAAATCATTAGCTAAATAGTGCAAATTAATTAAATCAACTTGTGATTGATAATTCAAAGTATCAAACACAACCTCCATTGGAAGTTCCCTCCATGTTTCGTTCTTTAGATAGCTACAAACATCAGATCCCTATATAGATGTACTTGACAATGTCATTCTAAACTTATATGCTACAAACAGTACTATAAAACTGTTAAGTTGTATAAAAGATAAAAGAAAAGATTGAACATGAAAGTTAATTATCTTTCCAAGTCACTTAACAATAATTAATTACCTCATTGGTAGTAAGCTTGTTATTGAGGGATTATTGGAAGTATCTCATCATATGCAGAGTTAATTCAAAACATTGTCTCTGGTCTTCTTAGAGATCAAAGTGCAGCTAGTGAGTGGTTTGATGTTGCAAGAAATTACAAACAACAATCAATACTTTACATCAAATGTAGAGAATTGATATGCTTAAGCAAAAGATCCAAACTCTATTTCAAATAGAGGGGAAAATGGGGGCTACCACAACCAAACAATGAGGGAACTCCAACGAAAATCAAGAAATTAAGACCTATAATTATAAAAGGCCAAAAGAGGTTATACTGCACTGTGTCCTCTTTCTAAACAAAATGACCCTCTAAAGCAAAGTGTTTGTACGCACATGAATGTGAAATGTGATGAATACGTGCAATTATAGAATTCGCAATGACGTGGAAGCTATGCGTTATCTTACTCCATTAAATATAGCTCATAATGGAATGGAAAATAGTGACCTTGTCCTTGTCTTTCCAACCACAGATGGAACTAAACTACTTACAAACCATCATAAATGTGGTCATAAGTTTGAGTGGCAGGAAATTTAAGGTGCAAAAATTACCTTGGGATTCTCATACTTTTTACACCATCACCTCAACTCCGTACACTGAACATGCATCTCAAGAATTATAGACAATCAACTTTGAGACCACGTGGGGTTCTTTAGTAATAAAAGAGATTTCATCAAATAATACATAATTGGTCAACATTCACAAACTCCCTAATTACTATTCATATTCAATTTACAAAATCAATATAAAAAATCACACGAAACTATAAGATAAGTAACTACTAAAATTGAAAAAGTCATTATAACACACCTTTTGCTTGTCATATTCCTCAATTGCACACTTGGTATACTTGGTGGAATGTTCTCGTGAATACTCCAAATGTAGACTCATTGGATGGATTTGCGCAAACACTGTTAGTTAGATTATGTTAATATGAAACTAAATAATATGAAAACACATTTAACACCAAAAGAATTATGAAAATCACAACATCCCTGAAATAATTGGTGTTGAAATCCTCATATTAAGCAACAGGCATGCTAAAGTACTCAAAGTGAATAAACCCAATCAAAACATTGACTCAAAGTTCAACATATTACCATTGAATAAACTTTAGGCTTCAATGCTTTAAGGGAGGCTTCCCTATTTCTGATCCATATAATCCATTGTTAAGCAAAGATAATATGTTTATTCACTTATGATTGAAGTAAAAAAAGTAACATTAGAAATTCAATATGTCAGAAATCAAGTTGCAGAGGAATAAATAAAGAGATAAGATGAACACAATCAAAAACTTCATCAAAATGGGTATGTAAAGATATGACAAAATGGAGGAGAATTAAAAAAAAGTTTCAGAGTAATACCTGTCGACGGTTTGCATATTCTACTACTCCGTTGCTAGAATTTGATTATAGATGACCTAAATTGCAATAACAAAACTTTTTGTAATTAGGGTACAAATTCCATAGAGATTTGAACCGGATGATGCGCAAGAAGAACAAATTTCACAGAAAGTCATCGCACGAAGATTACAATTTGTTAAGATTACTCTGAAAGGATGAATCGCTCGAAGATTATAATTTGGTAAGATTAAGGAAACCTACCTTATTCTTGGTACCGATCGCTGGAATTTTGTGAAACTCCACGTAGAAGGAAAGAGACTCGCCTATGAAGGAAAGTGCCAATTGAAGATTATCCCGATCAATCTTGCGAAGGAAGTGCCAATCGAAGATAATCCTGCGAAGGAGCTCTGCGAAAAAATCTGGTATGGAGACCTGCGAAGGAAGTGCAAATCGCGCGGATGAGAGTCGCCCAAATCTCGTTCTCATATCCAACCCGTTTGATGACATGGCTGATTAGGTGTCAAAAAATTGTTCTAGTCAGCGCGCCAAATGTCGCAATTCTGAGATTCAACTCTCAAAATTTTTATATAAAGGATTTAGAATGAAGTATAAAATAATATAAGATGATGAATTGATGATAGATTGATAAATGCGATATCACAAACAATGAATAGATAATTAAATTTTAATTAAAAAATAACATATATGCAAACATATGCGTAACCAAAATATACTCTAATCAAAATATATCTGAATCGAAATATATCCGTATCGAAATATATCCAAACCGGAATGTATCCGAAACAGAAATCGATCCGAACTGATTGACATCTGAATCGAATTTGAACCGATTTGGAACCAAATCGAAACCGAAAATTCTATGGAACCAAATTAAATTCGAACTGAAATTAAACTAATTTGAATCGATTATAACATATATCCGAAAAATATTCAAACCCAAATATATTCTAACCAAATATTTCAAATCGAAATTAATGAGATTGCTACCTATAGCTCTAATCTACACAATCAAAAAATTTTAACCGACATATTACACGTCACTTTCAAGCCTTCTATCCGACCGATTGTCTTGCCCATCCGACTCTAGACTAGATAGATGCTCCCTGCCCGTTCGTGATCTATTTCGTATATCCCAATGTGAGCACAATTAGGCACCTATTTATATACACGAACACAGGTACATATATATTGCATATACACAGCTTTTTGCTCTATAGAGAGGATAGAGATGGAGAAGGCAATTGAAAGACAAAGGGTTCTGCTCCAACACCTACGCCCTTCTCACTCTGTTTCTTCCCTCGAAGGCGTCGATTCATCTATCTCGGTGAGTTTCTTTCAAAAGTCAACGGCGATCATGATTTTTGTGCTCTCATATTTTCCTGAAATCTGAAACCTATTGATGCTGTTTTGATTTATTTACTCTAAGATCTTTCTTATTCGATCAAACTTTTCTATGGACTTCTATGGGATTTCTGTTCTCGTATGAATTCGCTCCTAATCCAGCTAAACTTGTTTTACTTCTGTGGTCTTTGTGCATCATCTCACTGTTGATGTTATTTACTCCCTTCTCCCCTCAGAACTCCCTGTTCTGTCAGCTTTCCTTTTGGTCACTTCAAAAGAGAAGTTCATTTCTTTCTTTTTTAATCTAAACCACAAGTTTTCATTTTCATGATCTCCCTATCAGTCAAATTGCTTAAGAGCCTGTTTGGAAACAACGTTAGAGTTTAGAGTTAGAGTTTAGCTGTTAGCATCAGCGTTAGTGATTACCCCTAGCAATTTGATTTTTTATTGTTTGGTAATTGAACACTTTTAAACGTTAATAAGTTTCAAGTTACTAAAATACCCCGGAGTTTATTGAAACAGAAATTGCTTCACTCTCGGTCTCATATGCATATGACTACTCGGTATCCCTTTGAAAGGGCCTTGAAGATCTTTCTTCCTCACGATAGAGTACTTATTAATAAATATGGAGTAAATCAATATATAAAATTTGTAGTATTTTCTTGTTGTTAATTATTACTGTTGTTGATACTCATCTCTATCATCGTTTATATCAACACAAACAAGTGAAATAAAAATAAAAACAAGCACACGATTCTTTTATCATACCATTCATAAGCAAATTAAAAAAAGTGTTGTGTAACCCAACAAACTTTGAAAACATTCAGGAGAAGATACTAAATTGTTTTTTTAAGGGAAAGGTATTGAATTTCTTACTTGCTCCGATTCGTGGGCAACTCCCAATACAAGCTAACAAACCCTAGTTTTTCAGTGCCCAATTACAAGGAGATGCAAATAGGCGCAGCGTGGAGCAATAGTTTTCAAGGTTAAAATTGGGAAAAACTTTGAAAACGTCAAAATTCTTGATAAACGCTGGAGGGGAGGAGCGTTCTGCGTTTAGCGTCTAGAGAGAACCAGATGAGGAATAACGCTTCTCATTCTATTGGGAAACAAACACTAATTATTTTAGATCCACGTTTTACTATGTAAAAAGCTAATCCCAAACACACCCTAAGTATTTTGGGAAGAAGGGAGTACTTATTCTCATGCTCTTTCCTAGTGAAATGGATGGTTCATCGCTCAAGACAGCTTTAATCTTTAAAAAAAGGTGTCTAGATGTGATGTGTGTTGATCAGTAGGAGTGTGCGTGCTCCGTACATGTTTCTGTCAGTAACCCATTCACTCTTTTTTTGCGCCTGATTTCTCGTCTTTTTGTGTGTCTATTAAAAAAATCTAATCTTAGGGTCACATCTCCAAGCCTGAATATATTATTATTATTATTTATTTATTTTTTTTGAAAAGACTCCAGGCCTGAGTATTGGTAGCACCTAATTTAGAACCCATGTTTACTTGCACAAACATTTTACAACTGAGAGCCCAACTATGATGTGCTCTGGAGTAGATTGCATACTAAATGCCAAATTGGTTCTGTAGTTGTCATCTACCGATATTGCTGATAGGCTACATATTCCAAATGATGCATAATCTATAAGAGTTTAGTTTTTTCTTTCGGGAGTCATAACACATGCCTTTTTTTGAAATGATTTGTGGACCTGAGAGATTTTTTCTATAACCCTTCCGTGTTCTTGCATGCATTAGGGATGGAACTTGGTGATTATTTTATAGCAGTTTGGTAAAGGGTGAAAATCACACACACACGCACTGTATGTGCTATCTACAATTACATAATTTTTTTTATTTATCGTCTCACCCAGGCATCTGTATGTGTTGCTGGGGACAGTGCTGCATATGCAAGGACTTGTGTTTATGGAGATGATATAGTCATCGTTGCGTAAGTGCTTTTTTCTTTGATGTACTTTTTATTTAATTTTACTTGATAGTACTGGAACTCAATAGCACTGCTGATGCAGGATTCTACCTTTTTGTTGTTGTTGTTGTTGTTGTTGTTGTACTGGAACAAGTTTTCCAAAATGGAGACACTAATTGCTAGTTTATTAGTGCTTCTATAAAACTTTTTTGTTCTTTTTTGTTATTTTCATCATGTGGTCTTGTAATCTTAACACATTACTTATTTGTGAATCTTGATTTTCTGCAGTGCATATAGGACACCTATTTGCAAATCTAAGAAGGGTGGCTTCAAAGATACTTACCCTGATGATTTACTAGCCTCTGTGTTGAGGGTCTGTTCTTGCTGCTCTGTACCAATTAACATTGCTATCTTAACAACACATCTCATTTCTGTATTCTAAAATAAATAATTCTTTACAGGGGCTGATTGAAAAGACTAATTTGAACCCTAGTGAAGTTGGGGATATAGTTGTGGGTACTGTCTTGGCACCAGGCTCCATAAGAGCAAGTGAGTGCAGGATGGCTGCGTTTTATGCGGGATTTCCTGGTATGTATTTTTACACCATTGAATGTTGAGCTCTGTAGAAATTTGTTGTCAGTTGAAGGTAACTGTTGATATGGGTTTGGATCTGCGCAGAAACTGTTCCGATTAGAACTGTGAACAGGCAATGTTCTTCTGGTCTTCAAGCAGTTGCGGATGTTGCTGCAGCCATTAAAGCTGGATTTTATGACATTGGTAGGGTACTCTTTTTCTGGCTTCAATAACTCTTTTTGTCCCAAAAAAAGTCTCATGCGGTAAAAGTCAACTTCCAATTCTAATTAAAAATCCTGTATAGCAAAGAGGCAAGCTGTTTTAGTAGGTGTAAATGATGATTCATAAGTTCTAAAATCTAGTACCTCGGTAAGGTTTACAAAAAATAAAAGTTGTACGTCACTCAAATGTGACTTTTTTTTTGCATGGTGGTAGTGATGATTCATAAGATCTAAAATCTAGTACCTCGGTAAGGTTTACAAAAAATAAAAGTTTTAAGACACTCAAATGGGACTTTTTTTTGAATGGTGATAGTACATCCTCACTTTTAGTTAAACTCCCCAATGATTGATGTTATTCTCTGGTGTAAATTTCATTTTTATTATTAGGAATTGGGGCTGGCTTGGAGTCGATGACTATAAACACCATGTCATGGGATGCATCTATCAATCCTCGAGTATGTTTTATTTTGTCATGCACATTCTCTCACTGGATCTTTTCAAGATCTTTACATTGGTGCTGATCTTCGTACATTTTGGACCAGGTTAAGATTTTTCAACAAGCTCAAAATTGTCTTCTTCCCATGGGTGTTACTTCTGAAAATGTTGCGCATCGCTTTGGTGTGACAAGGTCAGAGCAAGATCAGGCCGCGGTAAGTGTAAATTAACATGTTCTTTGCCTGACATCTTCATCAGTTAGTAATGCTATCGGTAACTATATGTATTAGGTTGAGTCGCATAAGAAGGCTGCCGCTGCGACCGCTTCTGGAAAGTTTAAAGATGAAATAATACCAGTGACTACAAAGGTAACTGCTCTCTGTTCAGTTACAATTAAGTTGTTTTAACGTACGAACTTGGAAAATGTTTGGTCTCTCTATTGTTTTGCATTGTGTGATGTTGTCTTGTTCTTTCATTGGATTTCTGTTAAATTCCACTTTACTGGTATTTAAGCATAGTAAGTATAAAAGCCTCACTCAAGGTCTCTTGATTGTTTCCCATTGGATACTCTTTTTTAATTCTCTTAAGAATAATCCCTCAACTGTCTGAAGTGTGATAATTTTTGTTCCTAAACAATATGGAGTAATATATCATGGGAAGGTTCCGAATTCCACTTATTATTACTTAACCCGCCATGATACTTGTCTTCAGCTGACTTGTGACCTGAGTAAACACATCCACAAATTGAAAAGAGAACCACATTATGATATACGAAAGACCATACAATTGCGGGAGTAAGGGACCAAAATTGTGACTCTCCCTAGAACTATAAGTTATGATTCGTTGTTTTTTTCTTGAATTGAAACTAAATATTTACCTCTAATAAAGATTGTCGACCCAAAAACTGGAGATGAGACTGCTGTTACGATCTCTGTTGATGATGGGTTTCGGCCAAATGCCAATATCAACGACCTTGCGAAGTTGAAACCAGTGTTCAAGAAAGATGGGACTACCACTGCTGGTAATATGAAATTTAATGGGAATTTTCTGTTATAGATTCTGTTGGAACACATGATATTGAGTTTTTTTCCTGTGTTATAGGAAACTCTAGTCAAGTTAGTGATGGGGCTGGTGCTGTACTGCTCATGAAAAGAAGTCTTGCAATTCAGAAAGGACTTCCAGTCCTTGGTGTATTCAGGTTTTATTCTTTCCAATTGCTTCCTGGAATGTGTATCCAGTGGTCCAAAATTGGTAACCCAAACTATTGAAGTGTTTTTGCCAAGTTAACCCATATGATTCTAACTCTACCTAATACAGGTCAATAGTGCCATGTTTGGGCCTCCAATTATCTTGTTTCACTGTTGTCAAGTAACAGATGACCCTGTATTGCAGGACCTTTTCTGCTGTTGGTGTGGATCCTGCTATAATGGGTATCGGTCCAGCGGTTGCAATTCCAGCTGCAGTCAAATCTGCTGGACTTGAACTTGATGATATTGATCTCTTCGAGATCAATGAAGTGAGTTATATGCAATATCTTTCCACCAGGTGCATAGTGTTACTTTTGAATTTAAAAAGTGATTGTAATGTTGCTCTCTTGTGCAGGCATTTGCATCACAGTATGTATACTGCCAAAGGAAGCTGGGGCTTGATCCAGAGAAGATCAACGTGAATGGAGGTGCCTTGGCGATTGGTCATCCTCTGGGTGCTACAGGTATATGAAGTTTTCAAAAAGACAAACTTGATAATCATGTTTTAACACAACAATTTGGTGCATCTGTTTTTATTTAACACAACACTTGGAATAAATTGGATATAGTAACTGTTTGATCAAATCTGTTTACGAAAGAAGGCATCATTATTGTTTACTATGTTCCATTTGTACCGTTAGTGTCACCAGATCCACTGCGTAGTACGAACCACTGTTGATTTGTTGGCCGATGACATTGCTTGACCTTGTTTTCTCAAGGGCTTATTCGGAAATTTTTGTTCTATAGGAGCTCGATGTGTTGCAACTTTGTTGCATGAGATGAAGCGCCGTGGTAAAGATTGCCGCTATGGTGTAGTTTCCATGTGCATAGGTACATTGATTAGTTCCTTCTTAACCTCACGGTTAGCATTTTTTAATTAGCATTTCTTATGGAAAAAAACCCCATAGAGAGAAACACAAGTAGCTAGCAACGTTAATTATATTTTTTATACTCGTAATTGGTTTTTGTATGCGGATGGCTGAATGTTATTCAACAGGCACTGGCATGGGCGCAGCTGCAGTCTTTGAGAGAGGTGATGCTTGTGATGAGCTCACTAATGCGCGGAAAGTCAAAACCAATAGTCTCTTGTCCAAGGATGCCCGGTAGAACTAACTTCCTGGTATTTTGAAAGAATGAATAGTTATTTCATGAGATATGAAAGAACATCAAAATGAATATGTAAAATTTTCCATTTCCATTTCAGCTCTATACGGTCATCGTTGTTGTATGCTGATTAATAACAATATGTTCTTATAATAAGTGTTATTATTACTGATATTGCTAAATAAAGATCCACATTTATGATTATGATGGATATCTTCTAAAGGTTTGACTATAAATCCATTAATCATTAATAAAATCATCAATGATTGAAGTCAAATATCTCTTTGTTCATGCTCCTTCAGTTTTGTTTTTTCTCACCCAGAAAATATAAACCATAAAAATTGTTTGTGTTCTCCTTTCATCCCTTGCAACAAAAGTCAAAACCCACAATCCTGCTGCCGACTCTGTACAGCAACCACTGAATCTTGTTTAATTGCAACATCTCAAGATCGGCCGTTGCTGCGTTATATCTCTCAGGTTGGGTGATTAGAACCAAAGAAATGGTTGGGTATATTTTTGTTTGATACTCCCTCTGTCCCATTTTAATTTAAATTGTCTGTTTGCCTTTTTTCTCCGTCCCAAAATAAGTTGCCTGTTAGTTGTTTTCGTAAACTTTTAAAAATAAAATACCTAAACTACCTCTAAAATAAGTCAATCTTCTTCACTTTATCTTCTCATTCATCATCACTCTTTCTAAAAACTAATGTCAATTTCGAAAAATCAACTCTATTTTTTATTTTCCTTAAATATGTCCAAAAGTCAAAACAAGCGATTTAAATTGGGACGGAGGGAGTAGCATTCTTCCTACAGTGTACTTGGGGGTTTTTATGTGTTTATTTTAAAACTCAAAAAAACAAAGGAAAAAAGAAACATGGTAAAATATACTCTTTCCATCCATAAAAGAATACAAAACACTTTAGTTTTTAAAGACCCAAATGCCTTCACTTTTCTAACCCTACACTCACTCAATCTTACCTTATCTGGCCTAATTCCCACTACCAACTCTGTCATCTCTTGTGTCATCTTCTCTCTGCCATTTGTGGTTCTTCTCTTCCACGATCTTCCACTTCTTTGACTACCTCATCTTCTCGGCCACCATCTTCGATATCTATGGGTAGTCAAGATCCTTTAATTCTTACTTTTCACCTATCGAGTGAGGAATTCCGTTCAAGATCTAGATCACCCTCTATTCGTGGATCTGACTCGAATATTTCGAAAGAGATACAAGGATGAGGCATGTTTTGTGGACTCAAATTTGAGCTTGAAAGTGATGAAGGTGAAAGCAACAAGGTGACATCTGGTTACGACCCTGAGAAATTGGTATACAGAGATTATGTTTTCATGTACAACTAACCCTCCACTAGTACCCATTGATCTTCCTTCATGTGGTATGAATTCTCCTTAAGAACTCATTTTTAATGATGGACACTTAGTTCACATGTTATGAGATTCAGTTTATTTACTTAGGATGAATTTCGAATTCAATTTTCAACACTATTCAGTGAGGCCTTTACATATTTGTGCCTTTCTTGCAAAAATAATGTGTATTTTGTATTATCCAATGGTGTGGTATCACGTGTAAAATGTCCAAATTCTAAAATATTTGCCCCTAAGGTGAATATGTGTGTCTGACTTCTGCTAACTCCTGATGAAGTCTATGATGCTTAATGATATGTGCTTGAAGACCTATGATGCCTAATTGTGAGTAATGTCAGTGAGTAGAGTGATGCATAATTTTGTGTTAGGTCTGTGATGCCTAATGTTGTGTGCTTGTTTCTAAGACCTATGATGCCTAATTTTGTTTTAACTCTTGTTGAGGTTTGTGATGCCCAATGTTGTGTGCTTATTTCTGAGAATTGTGATGCCTAATTTTGTGTTAGTTTTTCTAAGGTTTGCGATGTCCAATGTTGTGTGCTTGTTTTTTAGACCTATAATGCCCAATTCTTTGTTAACTCTTTTTGAGGTTTATGATGCCAATGTTGTGTGCTCATTTTTGAGATCTATGATGCCTAATTCCATGTTAACTCTTTCTGAGGTCTATGAAGCCCAATGTTGTGTACCTTTTTCTGAGACCTATGATGCCTAATTGTGATGCCCACTTCTATCTTAACTGTTTCTAATAAGTACACTACACAAACAGATAAGAAAAAACTTACTACACTTCAATACATAGGTAAATATTGTTTACAATAATTTGGGGTTTGTATGGCTTGTATGCTCCCCAATATTTACACAAAATAACAAAAAAGCATTGCAACACCTATGGGGAGTACTTACAAAGCTTGTACAACCCTCAAATTTTTGGAAAACAACCCCCACAATAGTAAAAAACAATACCTTATGCACTAAATAAAAATCAAGTAGTACTTGGTCTTTGTGCTGCTATGAAGTTTTTAGTAGCCTCTACAACTTCCATACTAGCTTCAATATTTTCTAACAAATGTTCTAGCCTCTTTAGTTAGTCCTTTCCAATGTGAGGTATTTTATAATTATTCCCCCCTTTTTCTGTAGAATTTGTTCTATCACACACTATAAGATCAAAAAGGCTATATTCAACTTTTGTGGGTTTAGTTCTTCAAATACATTTGTCACAACACTATCAATTCTGTAGTGTTTCCTGGGGATTTTTGTTCCTTGAGAGTTTCCAACAATCTAAAAAACCTAGGTCTGATATGTTTAGATCAGGGTTGTTGGGAGGTTGGCACCTGATTGAAATTTGCCATCCATCCTTTCGACAACTCTCAACTATTTCTACATCATGAGGGTGCACATGAGGTTTTGCATTGTCTTGTTGTATGATCACACGCTTATTTTGTGCGTCACGCCATTTGGCCTTAGTAGCTGGTATCACTTTAGTCAGCATTATGTTCTTCATGACTTCCCTAATCACAATTGGGAATGATTTTGTTTCTAAAGTACCTGATGGCCTGTTTTTACTATTCCTTTTTGCTACTTATTGAAATGTGAAGGCAAAAATGCATACTTTCCCATTCCAAAGTGTGTTACCATAATGCCAAACCTTGGCATGCCAACAACGGTTAGGAACATGATTTTTTGTAGGGCTGTCAATGGATAACCGAAACTTTGATTATCATCCGCATTGGTATCCGTTTAAACAGAAATAATCTGCATCTGTTTTAAACGGATATTATCTGTATCCGGTTAAAGACATACAATTACTAAACGGATACAGATTTGGTAATTGTATACCCGATCCGTTTAAAATCTGATCTGAATATACATCCATTTAGATAACTGTTTATTCGAATATCCATTTATCCGAAAATCAAATTAATTCTTTTAGTATTTATAAGAATTTATCCAGCCCATTAAACATTGATATTTGGCTCATTACTTCCACAAAGTAATTGGTCGATTATGAATTTGTATTTTTGTTCGAATGATTTTATTTGATTAAGTATTTATTATTTACACAGTAGTTTTTGATGTTGTTAAGTATTCTGGATTTCAACATTCACTTTCTCACTTTCAATGACTTACAGCTTGGTCTAAATATTCATATTTATTTTTATATAAAAAATTGTCAAGTTTTTTGAAGTACTTTAAAACATAATAAAATATTATCATGTAAAATAAGTATGCCTATATTTATAGTAATACGAGGTTTATTTAAAAAAAATACAAAGTATTACAGTTAGATGTAGATAATTTTTTTAAAAAAATATTAGAACACATCATATATTAAAAAATAACTATATATTATATACTACTTACAAATACCAAACATTTGATTTAGCCTAGATAATTACAACTTTGAATGTGAAGGTTAGAGGTCTTGGGTTCGAATCTTTTTGCCCCCATCGTACATTTTTGTTTTCGAATTTTAACTACATTAAAATTTGGCCAGATTTGGATACTTGTTCGGTTTCGGATATTTAATCGGATTTGGATATATCCTAAATAAAAAATTATCCATCGGTTTCGAATTCGGATATAGAAATGTAAATATCCGTCGGATACAAATACAGATTTGGATATTCCAAAACGTAATCGACTTTGGATTTGGAAATGCCATATCTGTGGTGAATATTATCCGTTTACAACCCTATTTTTTTGTATGAATTTTTTGGATTGGCTTGATCTATATGGATCTTCCTCATTTAATAGTGTGCAAAAAGTGGTAGTCTCTTCAGAAAGTTGGAACCATTTCTGATCTATGTGCAAATAGTTATAGAAGTGATGAAATGTTAGGTTTATACCTTATGTGTCGGGCGTTATGTGATCTAAACAAAAGTGTTTTTGAGCTTAGTATTGTCGGTCAACAATGGCTGTATGGTATTGGTGTGTTCTCGAATATGCTTCTCTTTAAACATCTTGTGAACTGTATTTTTTGATATCTCAAGCCGGTATGCAACAGTACACATATTTTTCTTTTTGCAAAAGGAAGTTTCAACCAATTTTCCCAAATCACGTGTGATTCTTTTTCTGCCTATATGCCCTTTTAGTTGTGGTAGCACATTAATGGGTAAGCCCACACTAAATTGTTGTTTTGCTTTGGTTTACAAGGTGTGAATGGCCCATCTGTTAATGTTGAATTGCCTTGTTAGGTTTTTGAATAGCCTCTCTCTGAAGTTTACCTTACATTGCTTTATCCATTAGTAAATCAAAAATGCATTTTCTTTCATCATCTGTTAATCTATGCATGTTGTTATGCAGCACAAATCGATATATCCTAGTCAACGCAAAATTTTTCTTCAAAGGCCTAATATTCTAGAGAAGCATTTAGAGTAGTCGGAAGCTCCGTGCAATTAAAGTTCAAATTACCTCTTCTCAGTGACCATTCGGCCGGCTCTGAGGGGCTCTAGGGGATGGGGTTCATTCTTTTTATATATATAAAAAGTGGCACAATTATATATTTTGAGATACATTAAAAAAGAAAGTAATACAATTAATTTAAAACGGAAGAAGTAAAATGAGAAGAGTGAAGTAATTCATGTCCATTTCATAATGAATAAAAGAATATGTGATACATAAGTGTTTGCCCAAGCTACACATGATAGGATAAAGCACGATCAAGTTTACAATAATGTAGTACTACATCTATCCTAATGTATTTGTCCAGTTTGAATTGAATTTTTTGAGTTAAACTAGATGAACTCTGGACCTCAATTAAATAAAAATGGTAATATTTTTAGTATAGAAATTATTTCAAAATATTTATCTTGTTAAGAACTATTAA